CAAGACTCAGGGATTCAGCAGTTAAGAAATCAAACTACATATTTAATTAGGCACATCTGCTGCACAAGATTTTTTAAAGTGATCAAGAGCAAAGATGTCAGTTTGAGGACTAAGGTAGGCCTAATCCAAGTCATTATATTTTCAGTAATCTCATATGCATATGAAAGTTGGAGACTGTAAAAGAATTAATACATTTGAGTTATGGTGTTGGAGGAGAATATTAAAAATACTATGGACTGCAAAAAATAAAAAGCCAGAGTACTCCTTGGAAACCAGGATTGTCAGACTTTGTCTCTCATATTTTGAACATATTGTCAGAAGAGACCAGTTCGTGGAGAAGGATATCACGTTTCATAAAGTGGCAGTTCAGAGAAAAAGAGGAAGACCCCCAATGAGATGGATTGGCACAGTGGTGGCAGCAATGGGTTCAGACTTAGCAACAATTGTAAGGTTGGCACTGGACTGGGCAGTGTTTTGTTCTGTTGTGCGTAGGGTCGCTATGAGTTGGTACCAACTTGATGGCACAGCAAAAACAAAAGCTTTTGAATTCTAAATATTGCTACTAAATAATATAACTCTAAAGGATTTTTTTGTTTTGTTTCTGAATACATAGGTCTTTCACATCTCTGCTCTAATGTTAGTTGGTTATGATAATTTTAATATGCTTTATAACTAGCGACATGAGATAAGCATTGAACTATTTATGATCCTTATAACAAATGCGCATTAGAAGCAAACGTAGTTTAAGTGTTGTGGCCATAAAAACCGTAGTGTCCTATATATTTTTCATAACACTTCCTAATCATAAATAATCTCACAGTTTTTATTCCAACATTCAACATAAAAATGCTTTAGAGAATCAATATATTTTTTTCTTCTTTTTGTCCCTTCTCTATAGTTGTTTGAAATTACAGTGCCTCTCTCTCAAGGTCCCAAACCAGTAACAATCAGCTTTGCCAATCACACTTCCTGCCGATGCATGTCTAAACTGGATGTTTACAGACAAGTTCATTCAATTATTAGACGCTCCTTGCCAGCAACACTACCACAGTGAGTATGAATTAAATTTCTTTGTTTACTTTTCTACATCCTATTCTAATATAAGGAGCAGGAGCGCTGGTAGCACAGTGGATTACAAACTGGGCTGCTAACCACAAGGTCAGTAGTTTGAGTCTGCTAATCACACTGCTGTTTTCTGCGTGATTTTACTCACAGAGTCCTGAGACCTATGTTTGCCTATCTCATCTTGTCTCCCTTAACAACTCCTCCATACTTTATCTCTTTAGCCATTTTCTTCATGGTAGTGGTTCTGAAAATTACATTTTAAGATCTGATCAAATTCCTGAATTCTGATATCTTATCCAAAGCTATGTTATTATTATTTGGAGTCCTGGTGTGGTGCTGCAGGTTAATGCACTGGACTGCAAGGTCAGTTTGAACTACAGGGTCAGCACTTCAAGCTCACCAGCGCTCCTTGGAAGCCCTGTACACGGTCACTACAAGACAAATTTGACTCGATGGCACTTAGCAACAACAACAAAATATTGGATGTATGTGTCCAAAAGCAAATATTTTTGAATCCCTGTATCTCTACATAATTCATGGAAATATTGTCTCATATCCTTGCTGTTGCTATAAAGTGCCAACCAGCTGATTCTCACTCATAGCAACCCTCTATAGGGTTTCTGAGTAGTAACCATTTGGGTTTTAAACCACTGACCTTGCAGTTAGCGGTCCAGTACTTATCCTACAGTGCCATATGAGGACTCCATAATCGTAGCAGTCTAAAGTCATGTAGTTGTCATTAATTACCACTTCTCATTATGTCACATTTAATGTAATTGATAATTTGGGAGATGGAGAATATACATTCTGAACTATGCTTCATTGCTGCCATCCAACCTTGTCCTCTTCTTTCTGCTTGTATGTCAGACTTAATGTTGTGGTATCAATACTAGTTCTGAAGTCTCTGGTCTTTCCCTTACCTGGTCACTAAATGTTAAAAACTCACCATTTCATTAATCTGATCAGAAACTGTCATTCCTTTCTGCTGAAAGCTTTGAGCACAAATTTCACACCTCCCTATTGTGGCAGTCGACCTTCCTTTTTTGTTTAGTCTCCCATTATTCACCTATTCTGTGTTTCACAGAGTCTGATTCTCTGAACACCAAACTCATTTCATGCTTTGTATCTTGTTTCTGTTCAGGTCCTGGCTTGAAATAATCTCCCTTTCTTTTCTGGTTTTTGAAAGCCCTATGCATTTCTCAGAGTTCAAGTAAAGGTCTTTGTCCTCTATCTGTCTTGTCCAAACACACGCCACCTTTGCTTCCTTGAGCAATTGCTAGATTTACTTTTACCTTCCATGGCATTATAGTGTCTGTAATATTTCATGTGATACTGAATTATGAGAGAATTTCAGGTATGTATATGTTCACTTAATAATACTTAAAAATAATCAAGTCTTTATTATGCTTTCGGCCCTTTACATACATTGCATCATTTATTCCTCACGAAACTCCAAGTTTATGGGTTTATCATTGTCTTATACTTATCAAGAAATGCTTGGTAAGTAAAAATATTTATCAATATGTATTTCATAACCCTTAATATGTTTTATTGTTTATCATCATTATTTTTTCACATAAGTACTATGCTAAACACTGTTTAGGCCAAGATGAGACAAAAAGTTATAGCAAAAGAGCCTAGACTTTAGAGTTATCAAGGTCTGAATTTGATTTCAGGTCTACCACTAATTAGGTTTTTCAAAGACTGGACAGGTATATGAAGGGTTTCATGAATCTCAGCTTACATATAATAGTTAAAAGTATGAAGTGTATCAAGCCAAATACTGCATGTTTATGCCATGCTTTGAATAGTGTCTGGTATCTAAGAAGTAGTCAGTAAAGGTCAGATTTTATCAGTAGAAGTATTAAGATCTATGTGTAATTCAACGTGCTGTTCCTATGCTTTTAATGTTTTTGTTTTCTTTTTCTTTTGAACTACTTTCCAAAATAAATAATACATTTTATATCTGAAACCAGCAGACATACAAGGCTCTTCAAAAAGTTCATGGAACAAATAGAATTAAAAGATAATGGAACTTTGTTATATATAATATATGTATACATATGTATATGTGTGCATATATTATTACATATATACATGTGTGTATGTATCTATATGTTGTTCTTTTTATGTGTCCTCGAGTCAGTTCTGACTCAATAGCAACCCTGTGTAGGGTTTCTGAAGAGTGGCTTGTGCATTTGAACCACCAGCCTTGCAGTTCAAACCAACTTTGTAGTCTAGTGCTTATCCTAGAATGTCACACCAGGACTCATATATATACCATATATGTTGTTGTTGTTGTTGTTAAGTGCCGTTGAGTCGGTTCCGACCCATAGCGACCCTGAACAGGGTTTCTGAGGCTGTAAATCTTTACGGGAGTAGAAAGCCTCATCTTTCTCCCGTGGAACCGCTGGTAGTTTCGAACTTCTGACCTTGTGGTTCACAGCCTGATTCGTAA